TGGAACCCCCAAGCATTTCATCTTTTTAAAATTTAAATAACATAAAATATATTTCATTCAGTGTGCATTAGAAGGGGAGGCAGACTACCTTCCAAGCTGGCATCAGGCATCTTGCCTGCATTTCCCCTACTTCTGTAGCGTGTTACATTTTCAGATCTCACATCCTAACCCTTGCCTTTTCAGTCAATCTTCCTCACAGGCTTTAGAGCTCCCTTCTTCCAGCTCTGGTACAGATGCCCCCTTTTCAATTGGAGCATTCAAAACCTCACAATCTGCCTGCTAGCCTGCCTGCCTGCCTGCCTGCATCGGCACTCTCTAAGAGAAACCCGAAGCAGCACTCTGAGATCTCCACCTGGGATTCCGCCAATCACCTCGCTACAGCTCTGCCCTACAGTCGCTGCAGCATAACAATAAGACATTACTTTTTTGTTATCAGAAGGTATACGGTTCAGGCAAATGAGAGTAGCATGATGTTAGCTTCAATCCATTTTGCCTCTTCTCCTGTCAGGGGCTTGCAAAATAAAAGATTTCAACACAGCTAGAAATATCAAAGGATTTCTTCTTTGCCAATTTGGGGAATACGTGCATTTCAGTAAATGGTAGTTCATACAGTATTTCATTTGCCTTTTTTTGGGAATGGTGTATCCCTTTAAACAGAAGAACAATTATCAGTGCCCCATTTCCACATTCTAGACCAGACTGCCCCCAGAAAGTCTTGTGTGCAGTGGTTTCTCTATATGCAAAAAGGTCACCAAGGACAGCCTGATCTAGGTAGTATCTGGGTGGGTACAATATACCTTCATCTTAATGTTTGGGTTCAATAGTCCTGTAATTTGGAATAGTCCTAAAATGTTCATGCACATTCCACAAGCTTCAGGAAAGAAAGGAAACTTACTAGCATCCTTTAATTCAAATTTTACCATACATATATCAGACTCTGATTAACAATGTTTTATCGAGTGAAATACCTTTTTTCTGCATTAAGAGCTCTAGTACCATTCCTACACAGCTTTCCTTATACAGTATATTGAATATAATCTGTACTCTCCCAGTCACTTACATTTGGGACAAGCAACTAAACAACCTCGTTGGTAGTCTTGAACGCCATTCATTCTGAGGAAATATTGTTTCTAAAACACATGAATGGCTATAAATGAGAACAGGCCATTTGACCTCCTTAGCCCATTTGCTAGATAGTAATTCATTGATTTGAGGTTGATTGATAGTGACTAATTGATCTCATCCATCCTTTTCTTGAAATAATCCAGGGTATTAGATTCAACAACATGCCTAGGCACCTTGCTTTAGATTTCCCACAGATCTTTGTAAGACTACCAATATCTATAATAATCTAGATTATTGACATAAATAAGCACAGGAAATGGTCCCTAATACATGTGTCTGTGATTGTCCACTAATAGCATCACCACAGTTAGAACATTTACCTTGTATCTATCCTGTTTTCTAACAATTAATTAGTTCTCAGTCCAAACGTTTATTTCTAAATCTACTTCCTTAAATTTGAGAATTATTTTTTAATGAGGAACTTTTCAGCTGTTTTTCAGCCTTCTGAAAATCTAAATATACCAGATCATATGCTCTATGTTCATTATAGCTGTTGTTTATTTAATGAAATGACAACTATAAAACTACCTTGACAAACACCTGGGTGAAATTCTAT